CACGTGCACTCATGGCCTTTGCATTATTTGCCTGCATCTTCTTCAGGCCTTTCTTGTTGTGCTTCTTGGCAAAGCGCATGTTCCTCAGGAACTTGGGGTCAACCCCCTTGAGAGACTCATATCTTTGTGACCGGGGTTTCTTGATGCCATTTCTGTGCCATTTCCGGGACTGGTTGTGTGTGGTGTGGTTCTTGGACTTGGCCATGGCTGGACAGTAATTGGCGGCTCCCCCACATACATATATTGAAACAGAATCTCACTATATAACCTCGGGTGGCCTTGAACTCATAGAGAACCACCTGTCTCTGCCTCCCAAGTGCTGGGATTAAAGGCGTGTGCTGCCATGTCTGTGCAAACCATGTTTTAAATAGAAAAATATGAACACTAACTGTTCCTTGTAATACATGGAATTGATGCTATAACAGTATTTTTGCCTTCTATCTCTAAACCAGAGGTTCTCAACCGTCCTAATGCTGTGACCCTTTAATACAGTTCCTCATGTTGTGATTGACCCCAACCATAAAATTATTTTCTTTGCTACTTCATAACTGTAATTTTGATTCTGTTATGAATCATAATGTAAATATCTTATTTGCAAGATATCTGATAGAGGACACCTGTGGAAGGGTTGTTTGACCCCCCCCCCCAGAGGGATTGCAACCCACAGTTGGGAATCACTGCTCCTAACTATTTTGTAACTTAAACACATTATGTAAAATTCTGTAAGGCTAGAAAGAAAGATTTTTGTTTTGTTTTTGTAACTGTCCCCAAGTTTTATTTTTTTCTTGACAGCTGTCTTTGAATATTTTATGTTGATATTTGGAGGAAAATGTGTCGTATTAGAGTATATCTAACATAATTTTTACAGTGTGCTATTGATACTTTATGAAGAGAATTTCTTTTTTTTCTTGATTTTTTTTGTGGGGGTGTTGAGGTATGGTTTTACTGTGTAGCCCTGGCTGTCCTGGAACTTGCAGACCAGGCTGGTCTCAAACTCACAGAGATCTACCTGCCTCAATCTCCTGAGTGCTGGGATTAAAGGTGAGTGCCACCACTACCCAGCTAGGGAGTTCATTTCAGAGGAGGTTTTGGGCTTCCCTCATTTAGTTTTTGTAACTCAGAGACAGTAGGCCTTGAATTATGGGCCTGTGTGTGTGTGTGTTACATTTTAAGCCTTGTGATCTATCTAGCATACTTATACCCGTGCTTTAGTGAAACACATCACAAGAAACATAACAAAAGTTTGTAGGAACAAATTTTCTCTGTGCCTTTAAGCTATCTGTAGGACCTTGATGCATTTACTGCCAAGCTTTATTTCCAGATTAGTCACATCTTCTCTGTGTTTATGCTTTGTCTAAATTTTTGAAGAAGCTAAAAATTAGGTAATAAAAGGATAATTTTTCTTTTGTACAATTAACAAAAAGCTGTAGAAAGGAAAATAGTGACTCATAGCCCTACAGTCCAGAGACTTTGGATTTAAAAGTTAGATCCCAGATTTACCAGGAGGAAAAACCAGGAAACAAGATATCAATCTCTTTCTCAGAAGGTTTCTTACAGAATAGCAGAAGTCACCCAGAACTCTTAGAAAATCTTGTTCTTGACCCAGCACCCTAAGATTGGCTGTCTTCGGGTGGGAGACATATGAACCAAGTTTAAAGTTCTTGTTTTCAAATAAGAACCATCTCATTGGTCATCTTACATTCCTTAGTGCCTCCTGTGTGCTGAGTGCTTTGGCAGCATGTTTGTGTGCATTGTTTAATACTGAGGACCTGTAGAGCTGTGCTCACACAGCTTCAGGTGGCAGAACCAGGGTTTAGATTCACATTTTTCTAATTCCAAAGCCTGTGTCTTTAACCAGTGTTCACAACTGGCGTTCCTAAAGCCTGAATCCTTAAAAGTCCTTTAAAGTGTTAGAAGTTGCCCAGTAGTGCCGTGTATTAATATATAACGAGGAGTTGCCACGGAGACTAACTGTGTAGTTGCTGTGTTCAGCAGCTCTCTCCCTTTGGGCATAATTACACTAGGAACAGTATCAGCCAGGCGGTCGTTTGTGATGTGGAGTCAGAACAAGAGGGGTTAGAAGAGTGGAATGTGAGACACTGGCCCTCGGCTTCGGTGGGTAGATTTGTCATGAGCCATTTCCATTACCAAAGTGTTCTTGTCCAGAGGCTGGGACACTCCTGTCTTTTGGCAGCCTCTTCTCCACACAGTGCTCGAGACAGCAGTGAGTTCTGTAGCTCTCTCTGCCTGTCCTCTCTGGGGTCACCACCAGCAGGTACAGTGGACATCTGTAGGCATCGTGGTGCACTTACACAGGCAGTGGTTAGCACATCTGGCCTGCGGTGGGGCTTGCCTCTGCCAGATGGTTTTTCATGTGCATATCCAGATCTAGTGCATGTTTGCTGTGTTGACTCAAAAAAGCTCTGTGTGTAGCCCTTATTTTCCTGGTTAGAGATTCACATTTCTTTTGAATCCACTATTGATAATTTGTTCTGTGAATATTAATTAATATATCTGTATATGTACATAGACACAATACAAATTAACACACAAACATTGTATGTGTATTATATATATTCATATCACACACATATATACATTTATCTGATACAAAATATATGTTATATATAGAGGGAGAGGAGTGAGAGTATAAACATTGCACTTGGTTTTAAATTAATGGAGTTTTACTTTTTCCAGCACTTGTTCCTTATCTTAGCTCCCTGCTGGAACACGGAGCCTACTTGGTCTTTTCTAGTTTATTTCTTTATTGTTACTTAGTTATAGTTTTGGTTGCTTGTGTTCATTTGCTCTGAGTCCTCAGAACTGTGCATTCCTAGCTTGGCTACCCTCTCCCTGTCCCCTGTAGTTAGCGGCACCCTTTGTTAGTCTCTCTTCTTGCATTTTTTCTTCTGTATTTGGAAAAACCCTGTCAAGTTTATCTTCAGTATTAGAGAATAATCTGCCAAGAATCTCTACAGTTTTTTTTTTTTAAAACAGGATTTGTCTGTGTTACCCTAGCTGTCCTATTCTAGAACTTGTTCTGTAGACCAGGCTGGCCCCTAACTCAGAGATATCTGCCTGCTTCTGTCTCCGAAGTGCTGGGATTACAGATGTGCGCCACCACTGCCTGGTTGTCTGCACTGAGAGCAGTCGCTGTTGCACTTTGTTTCTCAAGTTACTGGCGTCAGAGTTGCTTCTGTACTTCATCCTCTTGTTCCTCTGTGATGCATGGTTTCACACCCATTCCACACAGTGTGTCTGTAAGGCCTGAGGTTTCTGAGAAGCTTCGGGTTCACAACAAAATCAGAGGAAGGTGCCAGACGGCTGTCTGTACCCTGTGCCTGTTGTGGTACCACCACCCTCCATGTCACACTTGAGACCAACACATCGGAAGCACAGCTTTCATGGGAAGGAACTGCTGAGTTTTTTTTTTTTTTTTTCAAGACAGGGTTTCTCTGTAGCTTTGGTGCCTGTCCTGGAACTAGCTCTTGTAGACCAGGCTGGCCTCGAACTCCCAGAGATCTGCCTGCCTCTGCCTCTCGAGTGCTGGGATTAAAGGCGTGTGCCACCACCGCCCGGCATGGAACTGCTGAGTTTTGTAATGAACTGATTGTATAAATAGACTTTGGAGTTTTTTTTTTTTTTCAGCATAATTTACTCCTACCCCAGTGGGATACTGTTTTTACAGCATCAAGTTATTGTTTCATTCTTGTTAATCTGTTCTCTTATAGGAGATACCCTGGAGCTAGTGTAGTGAGATGGCAGGGACATAGTCATTGCTTTTGCTCCACTCTGTCCTTCTAATGAGTTCCTTTCTCTGTAGGTTCTGAGCTAGGACATGGTACAAGGCCAACATAGGCCCATCTTTGCCTCTGCTAAGGAAAATCCTCTTCTTGCTTTTCCTGTTTATGTGTATGAGGTTTACCTGTCCGCATCCATAGATATCACATGTGTACCCAGTGCCTGCTGAGACCATAAGAGGACATCTGATCCCTTGGAACCGAAGTTCCAGGTGGTTGTAAACCAACATGTGGGTGCTGAGAATTCAACCCAGGTCCTCTGGAAGAACAGCCAGTGCTCTTAGTTGCTGAACCATCTCTCTAGACCCTGCCTTTCCCATTTTTTATCAGCCTAGCTGCGGGCATATACTTTCCATGATAAGTACCACTGCAGGATTCCTTCTCCCACCCAGGGCTCCTTTTCCCACAGAATCTCACCCCCAGCTCTTCCAATAGACTTGACCCACCCCACAGAACTCACCCTCCTCTACTCTCTGCTCTTCTCCTTTGGGAGCTTTAAGCTTTGAACTCGGAGTTAAAAGATGAGAAGGAAGAATAATATTGAATCATTCTCAAAAAGCAGCAATCTGTCAAACAGAAGGGTAAGCTCCGACTCTAATCCAGAGGCTCAAATATGTGAGTGCCTTTCTCCTTTGTTTAAATAGATTGACTGTTCCAGCTTTGAGATTTCTCTTGAGCCAAAGCACAAGCAGGCCTGTGTTTATTAGGCTGATTCTGTGTACCGTAGAGTTTCTTCCTAGATTCCTACAGCAGATTGTGTGTGGATCTAGGTAGTGTGTGTGTGTGTGTGTCTGTGTGTATCCTGTTCTGGAGATTAAAGCCAAGGCCTTACACATGCTAAACAAGTGTTCTAATAATACATCTGCAGGCCTGTTTTTGTACATCAAAATTATTTGTGGGTGTGTGTTTTTGGGTGTGCATGCATGTGCATGCAAGCATGCACACATGAGTGCCCAGTTTTCATGGCACACATGGAAGTGGGAGACATCTTGGGAAGTGGTTCTCTCCTGTCACCTATAAGATTTGGGGACGGAACTTAGGTTCAGTATGTGGAAGAAGGATTAAGTGAGTACATTTTACTTACAAAGTAATATTTACTTGTCTACTAATTGAAGCTAAGTCTTGCAGATCTCCATCTTTCTTACCATGGCATCTTTTTTTCTTATTCATTTTATAGCTCAGATGGACCAGCCAAAAGGGTGATTAATATGCCTTAAATTAGAGTTACTTTGTTTAGTAGTGACTTTGGTTTGGTTGTTTGTAACCTGTTTTAAAAGCCAGTCTTTTACTTTAGAAAGATACTGTCTTAGCATTTACAGCCATATCTGACATGGTTGGCTGCTTTTCCCATCAGTTAGGTTTATGCCTTTAGATGCCTTAATGGATTTAAAATCATTTGGTCAAATAGGGCTATTTGCTAGTAAGTCTGTCTTGCTTTAATTTTGTGTTTGACCTTACACTGCCAAGGCCTTAAGGCTGTTTATGTAAATTATATTTTACAGCTCCTGTGCCAGAAGTAAAAGAAGAGAAGCCGCAGTCAGAGCCGCAGCCACCACCGCGGCCACAGCTGCAGTCACAGCCACCACCACCACAGCCGTCATCACCACAGCCGCAGCTGCGGCCACAGCGACCACCACCGCTGCTGCAGCAACAGCAACCATCTAGACCACATTTTGGAGCTGTGGAAGAAACATTTAGAATTGTTAAGGACTCTCTCAGTGATGAGGTCGTTAAAGCCACACAAGCAGTCTATCAGTTTGAACTCTCAGGTGAACACTGTGTCTGACGATTGGGGCTTTTATGAAACAGTGGGGAGAAAACCAGCCTTTGGTGCCTGGATTGTCAGCTGTATCTAGAACTATTGAATATAGATGCTCAAAAACAGCAAATCATTATCGATTTGTATTTTTTGAGTTAGACTTGTTTATATGGAAACATGTAGAATACATTTTCACAGCATATACTTCCAGTGTTAAATAACTCTTTGGCATATATAACCGAGGAAATAATATATAGATGGATATACCATTGTAACAGGTAATGTAATACAGTAATTTATCAGTTGTGGGCAGCTGACCACTTTTATCTTTAAATTAGGTCAGTATGAGTACAGTATGAAAGCCTCTACACGAGCCAGACTGTGGTAGCACACGCCTTTAATCCCGGCACTCGGGAGGCAAAGGCAGGAGGATCTCTGAGTCTGAGGCCAGCCTGGTCTACAGAGTGAGTTTCAGGACAGCCAGGATTGTTATACAAGAAACCCTGTCTCAAAAAACCAAATCAACAACTCTTCATGTTTTCCCATATAATAAAAGTAACACAGGTTAATTAATGGTAGTTTTAAGAAGTGTTTTGGTTCCGCTATATGCATACTTTGTCACTCTTTACGCTGTTCTCTGGCACATCTTAATTTACCCTTCTTTTTACTTCCTTTTTGTTTCTGAACTCATAGTCTATTGCTTGAGTCTTTTTTCTCCCTGACATCCCAAACCTGCTGAACCTTTTGTGCTTATTTAATGACTTGTCTATCAAAGGCTTAGTTTTGGATGCATCAAACTATCTGGTTGCTCCACAGTTGCTTCAAGGCTGCCCAGTCTTTTTAGACAAAAATTAAAGTAGCGACATCAGCTGGACTTACAGGGATCATCTATTCTCCCTCTTCAGATAGGTCTAAGCAGCACTTTAGACTTCTCTGTTGTCAGCTCCCTGTCCTCAGATTTAAGTCAGCCATGGGCCCTCCTTTTCTCCCCAGTGGGACAGCTTATCTCTCCATCAGATCCCAAGCTTGATTAACTGTACTGGACTCTTCCTTAGGTGGAGAGTTTGATCCAGTAGGTAGGGGGCATCTGAGTGTCTCCATTTCTGACAGATGGGTACCTCTAGCAGTGCAGGGGTCTAGGTCCCATCTCCTCCGGCCTCCTCAGGAGTCGTTCTGCCGACTTCTTCTTCAGTGTGTACACCCTGCAGCGTCCCTTCCGGCAGTTATTTTAATGTTTGCAGCTCTCGTCTCTTATTAAACCAGAATGTAACGGTAATCCCAAACCGTGCGCCTGTTCAGAGCCATACTTGCTTTTGCCTGCAGCGTACTCTATTGAACATGGTCCCTTCAGTTTTTCTCTGCTCTACAGAATTTGTTTCCACCACAGTCCTAGATGATGGTTGTGCCACCAGCGGGTGTCTGTTGCCCCTCCCTGTAGCACCTCTGCAGGTTCTGAGGCTGTTGACCACTTCTTCTAGAAACACCTCCACAGCCTCTGTTTTCTTCAAACTGAATGCTATACCCAGTAAACACCGAGCCATTTCCTCCACTCCCGCCCCTCTTAAGCACTGTTGTAACTTCTGTGTGAATCTCACTGCTCCAGCTTTGCCATTTCTCTATTTACACGCCTACACCACCTCTGTTTCCTCTCTGGAGAAGAGCCTGGCTTTTCTCTTTGTTATTTAATGGTCTCCAGAACCTCGTAGGGCACTTGAACCGTAGTAAGTGCTGAGTTGGATGGTAGGCTGAGGATTTTAGCCAGTGCCAGCGTGTTAGCAGGTTATTAACGCCGAGGGATGATTGTGCTTATTTCTGCCTTTATCTGTGCAGGTGAGGATGGTGGCACATGGTTTCTTGACCTGAAGAGTAAGGGTGGGAAAGTTGGACATGGAGAGCCCTCCGACCGGGCGGATGTGGTTATGAGTATGACCACCGATGACTTTGTCAAGATGTTTTCAGGTAAGTTTTCAACTCTTTTAGTTTACTTGTTTTAAATAGAGAATTTTGGATATTCTACTTTCTCTTTTCCTAGATAATGAAGGTTCAGAGCTGTTCCTAGCAGTGGGTGCTACCTATGCTGAAAGTACATAGTCTTGTGAAGGCTGTTCTTAGGTACCCCTATGCCGCTTCTACCTCGTCTGACAAATGGAAGATTGATGGTAGATCTTTCCTTTCTCATCACCGAGAAGCTAATAATATAATATTGGGGACAAAGAGATAATTAAAAAGGATTGCTAAGTAGGCTTTATTCTACTGGAACTAAGGTACTGTACTTTCAAAGCATAGTCACTGGAGGTTCAGAACTCATCAATAGCTCACTCATTAAAGTCAAGTCCTGCTTTAGCCTCACCAGATGCCATAAAGGATCCAGGAGCCAGCTTTTTCATGTGCTTTTGTGGAATCTCTGTTCCAGGGAGTCCTTTGCATGATTTTATGTTGTGCTCAGTTAGCTCCAACAGTGCCTGTAGACAGAGACTGTGCTTTTATCTCCGGCCGCCCAGACCCGAATAGCCACACAGAAACTGTACTAATTACACTATTTGGCCAATGGCTAAGGCTTTTCCTAGCTAGCTTTTATGTCTTAAATTAACCCATTTCCATTAATCTGTGTATCGCCACGAGGCTGTGGCTTACTGGTAAGGTTCTGGCCTCCTTTTCCTTCGGCAGCTACCTAGCATCTCTGTGACTCCGCCTACTCTCTCTATCTCTGTTCAGATTTCCCACCCGGCTTTACTCTGCTAAGACATTGACTGAAACATCTTTATTCATCAACCAATAAAAGAAACACATACACAGAAGGACATCCCACATCAAGTGCCAAAATCATTTTAAGAGTGATTTGTTCTATTTTCTTCTCTAAGAACACTACTCAAACTGGCAAGTTAATACAAGTTCTAAAAAATTAGGAACAGTACTCTCAATTAAGATTTTATAATATTCAAATGTAAAATCTTTCATGTAATGAACTATAAAGTGTTAAACTCATATGTTCATTCTTTTTAATTCTTACTGAACAGTATCAGTATGTTTTGAGCCCTCCAAAGTTCTGTTTTCCAGTTGTAATTAAGGGATACTAGTGGGGGCTACATCATATATGAACCCAGTCACCAAAGTCTAACTATTATGTGTATGTGTGTGCAGGTGCAAATGCCCAAACATATACATGCATGAAGAAGGCAAATGAGGACATCTGGGACCCTGCTCTATCATGCTCTTCCATATTCCCTTTCGAAAGGGTCTCTCCTGAAACCTGGGGTTGGGCTGGCTGCCTGCTAGCAAACCCCAGCAGTCCTATCTCGGGTCCTCACAGCTCTGGAGTTACAGACGTGTGTGTAGACATGCTCAACTTTTACACAGGTGTTGGGGATTCAAACTCAGGTCCTCCAGCTGTGCAGCAAGCACTCTATCCGCCAAACCATCTCCCTACTCTGTTTAACTTTTATAATAGTATTAAGTGTTCATTGAGCAAAAATTAGAAAAAAACACCAGAAAGAAGAAAACACAATTGTTTTTTACTACACCATTGAAAGATGATCAATTAATTTGGGTTAGCATTCTATATACATACACATATATACACACGCACACACACACATATATATACACACACATATGTTTATAAAGCAAAATTATATGATTATTATATTTGATCTTTTCAAATTGTACATGTAAACATCTTCATGAATTTTTGCTTCCAGTCATTTATAGTAGTTTGCTGTATCTAAAACTATTATTTCTGATTTACTGGAGATTATGTGGCAATGCTCAGTAAATGTTTGTTTTGTTTTTGTTTTTGTTTCTGGGTTTTTTTTTTTTTGAGACAGGATTTCTTTGGGTAATCTTGACTGTTCTAGAACCTACTCTGTAGACCAGGTTGGCCTCAAACTTACAGAGATCCGTCTGCCTCTGCCTCCAGAGTGCTGGGATTAAAGGTGTGCGCCACCACCACAGCCCAGCTTTGTTTTTGTGTACTTGGGACAGGGTCTCTCCTGGCTGTCCCAGAACTTGCTCTGTAAACTAGAAAGACATTGAATTCACTGAGATCCTCGAGCATCTGCCTACTGAGTGCACCACTGTACCCCAGCCTAAATGTTTGGTAAATATGAATCATAGATTTTTTTAAAATTAAGGACAATTTAAATTAAAAGTGTATTGTGTTGGTCTTGGTAGTATATAATTATAATCCTAGCACTTTGGGAGGCTAAGGCAGGAAGATTGTGAGTTCAAGGCCCTATGTAATGAGTCTGAGGCCCATTCAGATCCTGTCTCAATAAACAAAGTGAAACAAAAAGGTATTGTCAACATCTAAACTGAAACAAGTTAACCGTACTTAATATTTATTATCGTGTAATTGCTTTAGGTTAAGAAATACATGTAGCTTAAGATAAAGTATTTTTCACTGGGACTGGAGAGATGGCTCAGTGGTTAAAAGGACTGGCTGCTCTCCTAGATGATCTGTATGTGGTTCCCAGCAACCACATTGTGGTTAACAATTTTCTTACCTCCAGTCACAGTGGATTTGACCTCCTCTTCTGTATATAGTCTATAGTACCTCTGCAGACACTATATGTACATGTTGCAAGGACAAATATGCAGGCAAAACCCCTTATACATAAAATAAAAATAAGTAAATTAAAAAATAATAGTTTTTATGGGCTGGAGAGGTGACTTAGTGGTTAAGAGCACAGGTGCTCTTTCAGAGGACCTGGGTTCAATTCCCAGTACTCACATGGTAGCTCATGATTACCTATAAATTCCAGTTCCAGGGGATCTGACACCCTCACACAGACATACACGCAGGCAATACACCAATGCAGTACAATAAAATTATTTATCTAAAAAAGGCTGTAAAATTATGTATCCAGGTGTTTAGCTATGTTTGAGCACCACTTGCATCCCTGGTACTGAGGGAGACCAGAAGAGGGCACCAAATCTCCTTCAACTGCAGTGGAGTTATAGACATTTGTGAGCTCCTTCATGTGGATGCTAGGAACCAAACTCAGGTTTTCTAGAAAAGCAGCAAGTGCTGTTAGCCACCAAGACATCTCTTCAGCTCCCTAACTTCTCATTTTTAAATTGTCTTTTGTCCATGAGTTTTAAGAATTATTTTTATATTTCCAGGTATATTGCATGCAAATACTTTCTTTCTTTTTTTTTTTTTTACTCATTTTCTTCTTTTTCTTTTTTTTAAAAGATGTATTTATTTTTGTATTTGAGTCTGCATGTCTGCCTGAATGCCAGAGAGGGCATCAGATCTCATTATTGATGGTTGTGAACTGCCATATGGTTTGCTGGGAACTGAACTCAGGACCTCTGAAAGAGCAGCCAGTGCTCTTAACTACCGAGTCATCTCCCCTACCCCTCCTTCACTTTCTTGATGATACATTTTGAATCAATTTTAAAAAGGAGTTTTGGTAGAAGTATAAATTTATATTTGTTGCTTATGCTCCTAGTGTCCTATCTAAGTAAGGTTCTAACGATTTGCCCTTTGTGTCGGTTATGTTCTGCTGTTGTGGTAAGATGCCGTGACCACAGCTCCCACACACAGAGTTGATTTCACCTACTGCTCCAGAGGGAGCGTCCATGGTGGTGGGGGAGGGTGGCAGCAGGTGCGCAGAGCTGAGCGATCACATCTCTACTGCACATAAGAGACAGAGAACACAAGCTGGAAACCAGGTGTTCAAATACGTGAGCCTACAGGGACATCTGCATTTAATTCACAATACCCCCCCCTTTTTTTAATTTAAGACTTTAAATTTTTAGTTTTTATATTTAGGTCTGTGGTCCATTTTGAGTTAACTTTTTAACCTGTGTGTGAGCTGTGTGTATGGGGTGGATGGGTGTGTGTACCATTGCACTTCTGTGGAGGGTAGAGGACAACTTTGTAGATCTGTTCTCTCCTTTAACCTTCATGTGGGCTGTTGGTATTGAACCAGGCTGACCCATCTCTCCAGCATCAATATTGTTATTTTTTATTATTATTACTAATATTATCGCTAATAATCTCCAACATCATGAATTATTTCAGGGTTTTTTCTTCTGCACCTGCATTTCCTAGTATCATCAAATTCCTTTTTGTGCATTTTTTGCTTTGTTTTGAACCTGCATGTGTCACAGGTGAGAGGTGCGCTAGGCCACTAATGTTCCAGACCCGTGCTGTGCCTTCTGCAGATGTGAGCAGTGTCTAAACTGTCAGAACGTGAGGAGGTCGTAAGTGCTAGTCGGGCATGCCTGGCTGAGAATGGGAGCACAGCTGTACACCAGCTGTGTGCCTTCGAGCAAGCCAGAGTCCTCCTTGAGCCTTAGCTCTCCTATTAATCCTGTGCTCCAGATTAAGCTGACAGTGAGTTAGTAGGAGAAAGGAGAGCAAAGGTCCTTTTCTACAGAGCTAATCTTATTTGTTAGTAGCTACAGCCTTTGTGGGGAGGAGTTGAGACAGGGTTTCTCTGTGTATGTAGCCCTGGCTGTCCTAGAACTAGCTCTGTAGACCAGGCAGGCTTTGAACCCACAGAGACCCACCTGCCTCTGATTGCCAAGTGCTTGGGATTAAAGGTGTGTGCCGCCACCACTCAGCCTACATTTACGCTTACATTTCTCTGGCAGAAAAAATACCAGTATCTTTTTGTATTCATAGAGTATATTGTAGTTGGATGATTCTTTGGGCCGCAAGCTCACAAATAATGACACAGAGACTTGTTATTAATTATGAAAGCTCAGCCTTAGCGTAGGCTTGTTCTCAACTAGCTCATAACTTAAATTAACCCATTTATATTAATCTGCATTCTGCCATGGGGTGTTATCTTTCTTCCATCCTGCACCTCCTGTTTCCTGTCCGTGTCTCCTGGTGAATCCCGCCTTCCCAGAGTTCTCTCTCTGCCTGGAAGTTCCATCTATATTCTCTTGCCTAGCTATTGGCCATTCTGCTTTTTATTTCACCAATCACAGCAACTCATCTTCACACAGTGTACAAATATCCCTTAATATTATACTTAAAAAAATCATTTCTTAAATAGTGTGTGTGTCTGGATATAGATATACCCAGCCTCAGAGACCAGAAGCATCAGATCCTTTGTAACTGGAGTGATGGGCATTGTGCTGGGAAACAAGCTCAGCTCTTCTCAGAGCACTGTGTAGGTTCTTCACACTGAGCCGTTTCTACAGCCCTACACATACTGTACTAAACATTTTAATGTACGAGTGTTTGCATGTTCATTTGAGTACATGTGTTTGGGTACCACTGTGAATGCATGGAGATTAGAGAACAACCTGGGGTGTCATTCCTGTCTTCCACCGTTAGGCAGGCTGTCTCTGCTCAGTGATGTATATGCCATGCTAGCTGTCCGCAAGCGTCTGTAGATTCTATCTCTGTCTCCCATCTCAAGGTAGGAACACTAGGATTATAGATGTGCACTACTTTGCCAAACTTTACAGAGGTTCTGAGGATTTACACTAAGGTCCTCACGCTTGCGCAGCAAGTTCTTTACCCTCTGAGCCATCTGCGCAGTTCCTACACTATATACTTGACGGTCTTAGCTGTTTTTCATTTTGACACAGTGTTTAGCTCAGGCTGGCTTTGAACTTATGATCCTCCTGACTCAGTTCCCAAGTGCTGGTGTTAAGATGTGTGTTGCCATGCCCAGCTTAGTAATCATTTCTTAGATTTTTTGCACCATTTGATTTTTTGAATTTAAACTTGAAATAGTTAAAGAGTTTAATGAGCTGTAACAGATTGGAACATTAAATAACATAGTATTTACCTTCCAGAATTCATCTGGGGACTACATTTCTGTAAAGTGCTGTAACCAGCATATGTATGAATGTAGCTTGTTGCCATTACTTTTTGCAGACTGTTTCTTACGTTATCTTTTACATGACAGGATATTGTTAACATCCAAGTCAGGTGCTGAGATTCCCTGGGTAGTAGTATGCAATGCTGTAACAGGAATTTCTGTGCTCTGGGGTCCCTCTTAGAATGCATGTTCTTGAAGTGGCATGGCACTTGGGGCACTAATGCTGCATTCTCCGTCTCATTTCGCATTTTAGGGAAGCTGAAGCCGACCATGGCATTCATGTCAGGAAAACTGAAGATTAAAGGGAACATGGCCCTAGCAATCAAACTGGAGAAGCTAATGACCCAGATGAATGCCAAACTATGAGGGACAAGAAGCAAGAATGACTCGTAGAAGTAAAAAGCTCAACAGTTAAAAATCTGTTGTCTCCTCCACTGTCTTATAAGGACACATATGTTTGTTCTGGAAAAATTAGAATTTCTGTATCTATAAGACTTGAAATTGTAATTAAAACAACTAACCAATCGTGTATAAGTCTCACTAAGTGGCCTCTTAATATATTGTGTTTTTTTTCTTTTTTCAGTTTTTCCTGTAAGCTTTTATTTCATTCATGCTTTCTTGCATGAAAAGTAATATTATGTATCGAGCACTAGAATTAGCTATTTACAAAACTTCTCATGTAAAATCAAGTTACCTTATCTTCACAAAGAGCTGGGTGAAGAACTGAATCTCTCTCTTACCCACTGCCCCTGCCTTTTTAGAAAAGGACTTTTGTCAGTGTATAGTACTTGCCGGCAAAATTTGTTTAACTTATAACAAGCATTTTATACTATTGATACTATTCTAGATATCTTTAAAATTTTAGCTTTCCCCTCTTTTTTTTCCAGATAGGGTTACCCAGCTGGCTTTGAACTGAGGGCAGGTCTCCTGCCTCAGCTTCCTTAGTGCTATGATGACACACAGGAGCCACCATGCCAAGCTAAATTCAGTTTTCTTTTGGATTTTTTTTTTTTTTTGAGACAGGGTTTCTCTGTGGCTTTGGAGCCTGTCCTGGAACTAGCTCTGTAGACCAGGCTGGTCTCGAACTCACAGAGATC